TATATATATAAATGGCATATTATTTCCCTGCTATGACAATTATTTCATGAGATAGTACTTTCAGTTTCAATGAATGGAATATTAAATTATTGAACTAAGCAAATTTTAATATCTAAAAAATTTTCTAATGAAAACCTGTGGTTATGAACTTTCAGAGTAACAGATTTATAGCTTTTTCAAGTATTTTAATGTTCATTGGTTATACGGAATAATCCTGTGAGATAGGCTGTCATGTATTATGATTCTTCATTGTACAAATGAAGGAGCTAGATTTCAGAAAGATTAAGTGGCTACTCAGGGGCTACATAGTTTGCAAGAGAGAAAGGTAGCCTCAAACCCAGGTCTTAATGCCCCTGAAGGCTGATTTACTTTCTATTTCACAGCATAGCTTTCTCCCAGTGTGACACTTAGAAGTGTGGCTTGTTGAAGTAAAAAGGGAGCTTAAATCCCATTCTAACTGCCAACACTGCAACTCTGTGATTGTGACCTTGGACAGGTTAGATGATCTAATCTCCTATTTTTTTTTTCTTCTGCGACTCTCAAGGTTACAACCTAAATTTTGCTTTATATCATGTATAGTGATAAGAAATATCTAGTTGTTAGGGTTATATTCTCTTAGCTTTTGTCATAGGTATACTATTTTGTCTATTTCATATGTAGTTTGTAAGCTTACTGAGGCTGTAATTCATCGTTAAAATATGTGATTATTTTATAACACATATAAACATATACTATATAATATACATGTATATTTTATATATATCTATATATATAATATGTATATATTTGTATACATGTACTATATTTGTGATAGTGTCCAGTTCAATGCAAGGAGCAGATTAGGAGCACATTATATTCATGTCCTTGTTAGTCTGTTATCACTTAGGTAGCTACAAAATTATTGAACTCTGGTTAGTGAAAGTCTGACACTAAGAAAGTTATCCTGGCACCCACTGTCAGCAGGCACCAGATGCTATGACTAGCTATGCCCCCAACTCCTTTAAGTGATGGTATAGATAAATTTTGATTGTTTTACTCTGCTTAGAAAATGTTTTGGTGTTTTATCTATCATATGTAATTTAAGTAACTAATAACTGTATCTCATTCCTTTATTAGAAAACAGCACTGCACAGATAACATCCACAGGAAGCCTTATATTCCAAAACTTTGAGGAGAGTATGAGTGGCGTTTACACTTGTTTTCTCGAGTATAAACCTACTGTGGAAGAAATTGTTAAAAATCTTCAGCTAAAATATATTATATATGGTAAGAAGTGAAGATAGTTGTGTTTTAACATTTCTGAATGTTTTAAAATGTTTAAATGTTTTAACAAGTTTGTTGTAAAGGGATTTGGCTATTTTTAGTTTTATTTAATTAAAAAAATTTCTGCCTGCCTATATTTTACAAAGTACTTTATGAAGGGTTAGTGGTGAGGGCACAGAGTGGTTAACAGAGCATAGTCTATTTTCTTCAGAAGAATGTCAACATGTACACAGATAAATTTAAGTCTATGAATGAAGCAGGAAGTATAGATATCATGTTTTCAAATTATGATGATAGTATATACTGTATTAAATTCTAAGTATTTAAAATTCCAAGTATCATGATTGTTTTTAAATTCTGAGTATTAAAGAGTATAGCAATTTATAACCCTGGCATAGTAGATAAGAACCTCAGTTTCTAAAGCTCCCTTAATACTGTATTTTGAATTTTTGCCAATCTAACAGGTTAATAATGTCATTTCATGGTTTTAATATGAATTTTTTGTCTTTGGTGGGTTATTTGAATTTTGCTATTATATTTTTGTGAGCTCTTTGTGCATGTATTTGTGTAAATAGCGACTGCGAGATATGTAGATATACAGATACTCAGCTACATAGATATTAATTTGTGTCAAATGCATTATATTCTATGTTTTGTTTTTCTTTAGCTTATTGGCTTGTTTTTTATCCTAGATAAAGGATAATTTAAAGTTTTTAAATTTTATATAATCCACAAATGGTATTTTCTTTTTGGCTCATGTTTCTTATTGTGTTGAGCAAGGTATTCATTATTCCTTGGATTATAAGAAGAGCTGATTTTACTTACAATTACATTATATTTTTATATTTATAATCTTTAAAAATTTTAGAAAATTGTAAAAATAAACTAACACTGAAAATTATCAACTTTGAATTTGTCAAGCCAATAAGTATAAAATGGTAACTCATTGCTTTACTATACACTTTCTTAATTATTAGTAGGTTTGAGCATCTTCTTATTTTTATTACGCAATAGATTACATTGCCTTTTAAATTTCATTGTCATTTTACTTTTGAATAGTTTGCCTTTGTCTTACTAGTATGTAGGTATTCACTATTCTTGATACTAATTTCTTCTTATTCATATTTCAAATAATTTTTGCCTGTCTCTCACTTGTCTTATGATGTTTATGCTAACAGAAGTTTCAAATTTTGTTGTAATGAGATTTATCTGTTTATTTCTTTGAATTGCATTTCTGTTTTGTTTTGTTTTGCCTAAGAAATTATTTCCTACACCTCAAAAATAAAAGTAGTTTTATGTGTATGTATTTTATATATGTATATATATAAATGGCATATTATTTCCCTGCTATTACTGCTTTAGCTGCATTCCATAGGTTTTGACATGTTTTATTTCATTTTTATTTGCATCAAGATATTTTCTAATTTCTCTTTTGATTTCTTCTTTGACCTATTGATTATTTAGGAGTATGTTGTTAATTGTCATTATGAGTCTCTCAAATTTCTTTCTGTTATTGATTTTTAATTTCATTTTGTCATAGAAAATCCCTTATATTATCTCAGTTTTATCAAGGTTGTGGCTTAGCATATGCTCCATCCTTGAGAATGTTCCATGTGTACTTGAGATAAATGTATATTCTGCTGTTGTTTTGTGGAGTGTTTACTATAAATGTCTGTTAGGTCTATTTGGTTTATAATGTTATTAAAGTCTTCTGTTTCCTTATTGATCTTCTGCCTAGTTCTTTTATCTATCATTGTATTAACAAATGAGATATTGAAGTCTTCAATATGTCTCATTTCGTTTTTGCCTGTTTTTGCTTCATGTATGTTGGTGCTTTATTGTTAGGTATATATATATTTATAATTCTGTATTTCTGATGTATGACCTTTTTATCATAATAGGAAGTTTCTCTTTTTCCTTTAGTAATATTTTTTGTTAGTTTTAAAGTCTATTTTGTATGGTAATTGTATATCCAGTACTGCTTTCTTGTGATTGCTTTACACATGGTATATCTTTTTCCATCCTGTTACTTTCCACCTATTTGTATCTTTTAATCTAAAGTGTACCTCATGTAGACAACATATACTGTAGTTGGATATCACTTTTTTTAATCCAGTCTGACCATCTCTGCCTTTTGATTTGATTGTTTAATCCATTCACATTTAATGTTATTATTGATATAATGTGATGTACTTTGCCATTTTACTTATTGTTTCCATATTCCTCATGTGAGTTCCTCTATTCTTCATTAATTATTTTGAATTAAATGAATATTTTCTAATGTAGCATTTTAATTTCTTTACTGTATGTATTTTGAGTTATTTATTAATTGCGCTATGGCTTACCACATATATTAACTTATCAGAATCAGCATCAGATTTACAATAACATAATTCTAGTGAGCATTAGAAATGTTACTCTTATGTAGTTTTGTTCCCTTTCCCTGCTCTTTGTGGTATTAATGTTATACATATTATATCTGTAAATGTTATAAACCAAACAATACTTCATTATTATTTTATATAATTTTATGTCTTTGAAATAAGCTGAGTGTAGAAAGGGGAGCAAGTATATATTATATTAATAGGTTTTGTTATATTAGCATCTTATTTATTATTTGTGGTTCTCTTCATTTATTCTCATGGATTCAAGTTACTGTATGGAGTCATTTCTCTATCCCAGTGAAGCTTTGCTCCCACCCACCTCTTTTGTGCTCCTGTTGGCAAATATGTATTTATATGTTATAGGCCCAATGATACATTACATATAAATTCTTTTATACAATTGCTTTTTAAATCAGTAAAGAAGGGGAAAGGTAGAAGAAATATAAAATTATGTTGTCTTTATAATTACATATTACCTTTATTGGTGCAGTTTGTTTTTTGTGTAGATTCACATTATTGCCTGGTATCACATTCTTTCAGTCTGAAGAACTTCTTTTAGTATTACTTGTAAGGTAGGTGTATGTGACACATACCGTTAGTTCTTTCTTCGTTAGTTCACATCTACTCTTGAGCCCCTTAATACATATTTCCTTTCCGTCTTTCTACTGTTCAACTGTTGAATTTCCATTTGGTTCTTTTTTTATAATTTCAGTATTTACTGATACTCTCTATTTTCTGTAACATTATCATCATACCTTTCTTCTTTAATCTTGATTTCCTTTAGTTCTTTTAACATATTTATAATGATTACTTTGAAGTCTTTATTTTTTAAATCCCACATCTGGTCACTCTCACAGGCAGTTTCTGTTGCTGACTTTTCTCCAGTATGTGGATCATGCTGTCCTGTTTCCTTACATGTCTTATAAATTACTGTCAGAAAGTGGACATTTTAGATAATACACTTATGTGTTGCTTACTGATGGAGATACATTCTGAGAAATGTGTCATTAGGCAATTTTGTTGTTGTGTGAACATCATAGAGTGTACTTACACAAACCTAGATGATATAGCCTACTGTACAACTGGGCTATATGGTATATCCATTACTCCTAGGCTATGAAACCGTACAGCATGTTACTGTACTGAATGCTGTAGGCAGTTGTAACACAATGGTATTTGTGTATCTAAACATAGAAAAGGTACAGTAAAATTGTGGTATTTTAATCTTATGAGACCAATGTTATATATGCAGTCCATCACTGACCAAAATGTCATTATGTAGTGCATTACTGAATATTGTATTAATAGCAACTCTGGGTATAGGTCACCCCCACTTCCAACCAGCCTTGTTACAATTGTTTTCTGTTTATATTTTTAGCAACTGACTGGATTATTTCATTGAAGTTCACTCCCCAGTGTGAAGCCTCTGATGTTTGTCTTTGGAAGGTGCAGCTCGGGTGTACCCACAGCAATTTTGACAGGGCTTTCTCTGACTGTTTGTTTCCCTGACGCACATACTCAGCTGATCGATCTATTGCTTTCAGCAATGCCCTGGGAAATAAGTTTCTCTACATGCTGATCCAGTTAAGGTTCTCGAAGAGCTAGTTCTTCAGGTCAATGTTTGAGATTTGTTTTGACCTCAGGATTGCTCTTTCCAGGTGACTCTTTCAGTGTGGCTTTCTGGCTAGCCTTTAACCTATAACTCCAGTGAATCTATGAATCTCTTCCCAATTGAGCTTGTCCACATATTCTTACAAGTGAAGTCAGTTCCTTTGAGAAGAAATGCTGTTCTGCAGCCTGGTCCTCCTTCCTGGGTAAATTTTCTGCGTCGCAGCTCTGGAGCTGAGGGTGGGGATAGTGACGTCTTTTTTTCTGAGCAACACACTGCTTTAGGAGCTGAGCACTTGATGGAGGGGTAGCAGGAGCCTCAGATATCCTCAGCTGGCAGCTCCTGATGTGGAACCCTCACGTCATGAACTTGAGGTACGGGCGATGGTGTCCCCAGTATTCTCAGTGTTCTTATACCTAATTTAGAGCCTCTGTCTCAGGAGGTGGGGCTAGGTGAAAGAAGGAAGCCGAAACCTTTCTACCAAATGCAGCTGCAGCTTAACTTCAGCGATAGGTAGCTGGAGCTGTGGGGAGAGAGAACCCTCTGTTCTTGATGCGCACATCTGGAATGGGGTCTCTGTCTCTCTGAGCAGGCTGTGGGATGGGGGAGGGAAGAAGCAGGTCTTGGTTCAAATACTGCTCTTACTTTTAGTAGACTTTCTTGAATAAATGTTTCTTCATTTTTTCTATGCCCTTAGGAAAATTTCCAAAGACTTTTTGAACAATCATTTAAAAAAAATAATTATATCAGTTTTGTTGGAGAGTGAGTTTGCAGAGCTCCTCCAGCTGTAATATCAGAAGTCTGTCTCCTACAGTTATTAACATTTTTTAATAGTAATTACTTTATTGGATTCACCATTTCTTCTTATATACATTGTACTAAGTCATATCTTATTGAAATAATTTTAATCTAACTCTCCAAATGTGTTGACATGAAAATCTTTATAGTTTTATGTAGTTACATCTTTTTATTTTGATTAATTAGTATATTGCTGTATTTTTTCTTTGTTT